TCTTCAAGCAACTTAAAGAAGTCCAGACGCTTTTCTTTGCAAGCTCCTTTGACCTCTACACCAGTGGTTCCCAAACGTCGAGGACTTTAAGGGCAGTATCATAGATCTGAAAAAGACTGCAATGGGCTAAAAGACCATCAGCCAGAAGTTTGGTTAGAAAATGACAATTGCGACAATTTTGCAATTATTCAAAAAAAAAAAAGAAAAAAAAAAGAAACATAAAATATGAAATGGCCAGCGGCCACAATCAGTATGGTTAAATGGTTATGCCAACAAGGATTTTTCATAATTATCAGTTAATGGAAACCCAAAGTGCTTGGAAGTTTACAAAATGTGGAATAAATGTGCTCTTTAATGGGGTAAAATTAGTTCCAAAACCAAAATATCTAAGACACGCTTGTGACTATCTATCAATAAATAGACTTTATTAAGACACTACAGCTGGTGCAAGATGCTAGCAGGCAGGGGATACATGTAACGCCATAACCAAATGACCAGCATAGTACACAGAAACATTTATGTCAATTATGGCCTGAAAGTCCCGAGGTCAAAATGGGAGGGTCAAGAATGACTGAGCTGAGATCCTGCGGGACTTCCAGATATAGATGATGATGGAGATGAAGATGTGGAGGGTGAAGGTAGCGTCTCTAATAAATGAAACTAAAATAACAATAACAAAAACAAAGATCAATCAAATAAGCCAATATGGCAAAACCGTAATGATCCACTTGGCAATGTCAATCCATTGGGCATCTTTCTGGCCTTCAGACAGTAATTCTGATGGCTAAAGAACCAAAAGCGACAGGCGCAAAAAACAAACCAAAAAAAAAGAAAAAGATAAAAATTAGGTAGCAGCGGTCCTAGTGATAATTGGAGCACTAGGTGCAGTGACTCCCAAGCTAGGCTCCAGAAGATCCCTGGAACAACATTGGAGATCTCTGTCCAGAGGAGCACAGGAACAGCTAAGATACTGCGCAGGACCCTCAAGCTCCCAGAGCTCTAGTAGAGGAACCGAGTAAAAGATAGAAGGGAATTATTTAAACATATATATGTGTGTGAAGAACGGACCCAACACACAGTCTTAATGTGCTCAATCGAGGCTTTATTTTTTAACTCTCAGCAACTTATTCTGTTGTTTTGATACATCGTAAGCAAAAAACAGGCAAAAAAGCTGCTGGCAAAAAACCCCTCCAACTCGCTTGTCACTCTGCACAGTATATATATAGTGTCTGTTGCAATAAAGTGAGTGAAGCCAAACATGATGGCAGACTGCCACAGATCACTGCTGAGGAAAGAGGAGGCGTTCAGCTTCCTCATAGTTTCACACCTGCATGAAGCAGCCTCACCCTGACAGCTTCAAATCACTGTGTCAGCTGATCACTT